GTCGCCCTGTCACTTAGATGTTCCTCATCTGAGCTGGGTTCCTCACAGCGTTTCCTCTTCTTCTTGTGTGGTTCCGCGGAGTCTGTTCTCCGCTTCATCGCTGCAACTGAAGGAGCAAAAAGATGGGACAGAGAATCACAATGGAGCTCAAAGACATAAAGCAAAACTGAGGTTAGTGCACATGATCAAAGCAGGAAATGGAAAGCTCTTGTTCAAGTTTATGAGCTCCACAATCTTGAAGGATTCATCCTGAAGGAACAAAGAGCTCAACAACGAGCATGACCATCTGTATGCCAAACATTGTCAACAAAACCAGTCATCTGGTTTAATTGTCAAGGTGCAGATCCATGCCTACATGTTGCCCTCAGAGCCGTTGCTGGTCTCTGCAGGCTGGAAGGAATGGCAATGAATACTGTATCACCACATGAGTCAAGCCTTCACCAGCATCATCAACACTATCATTTCACTATTAACAGAATCTCATTTCATTGCAGAGACTAGGCAGGCTGGTTTCTTAAAGCAAACTAAAACTTTGCAGATAAGAAGCAGAGACCTAACAGTCTAAGTGACATTTAAAGAAAATAATTCAGATGGATTTCAACCAAGGACAGCAGTCAGAACTACACTACAGCTGTTTTCTAAATGTTACAGGGGGAGACTTCCTATAAAATAACATTGGAGGTACTACTGTAAATGAAGTGGTGTGCATCCACTAACAACATTTTCAGCTTTATACAACTTTTGCCACCTTACACAGTAGAGGCAGCTTCCAGGAAATAAACTGAAGTTCAGGTAAAATGTGAGAAATGCAAGTGCTTTATATTCTGCAGCACAGTTCTAGTGAAAGAGTAATTAATCAGAGTCAAACGTGGATGGACCAATAAATATCATCATCATAAACATGACTACAACACAAACAACATTAAACAGCATATGCACAAATCAATGCATTCCAGGGGCCTATGTCCTACAGACTAAGAACACAGTATTCTGTGCCTGTCATCTGAAAATACTACACCTAAATACACCAACAACAGAAACAAAAACCTGCATCCTAAAAACAAATCCCAAATTAAACTAGATATCACGTTCTTTAAACTACACCCCCAACAGCAAAGCACATCTATGAACTGGCTTCATCACTCTGTTCTCCTTTGCACTTATTGCCGATATCAGCGACGGGGACACTATACTACAAAAAGGTGCCGTCCTTCACATGAGATGTAAAACTGAGATCCTGACTCTCTGTGGTCATTACAAATCCCAGGGCGTTTCTCGAAAAGAGTAGGGGTGTAATCCCAGCGTCCTGGACAAATTCCCATTGGCTTTACCAATCATGGCCTCCTAATAATTGGCTTCATCACTCTGTTCTCCTCTCCACTGAGAGCTGGTGTGTGGGGAGTGTACTAGTGCACTATGGCTGCCATCACATCATCCAGGGGGGGCTGCACACTGATGATGGTGGGGGGGAGTCACCATTATGTGTAAAGTGCTTTGAGAGGAGTGTCTAGAAAACATACATCACCCAACTAGAAGAGAATGTCTGAGGATTCCACAATACATTAATCTGAACTTCCTCAAATAAATAAAAACGCAATCTTCCTGAAATTATGTTCAGATTACTAAATCAGAATTTGGTCTCCAGGACTGATCAGATCAAGGTCCTAGTTCATGGGACAGCGTAGAGGAAGCGGGGACTGAAGGGGATTTTCCTTCTCCTCTTTGTGTCGTTTCCTCTGCTTCAACTGAAATTCAAATAGCTTTACTCGCATGACCAATGATTTGTTACAGTGTTACCACTTAACAAGATATTTACTGACACCATATGAGACACTTTATGATGTTCCTCTATACCCATCTTCTTTCTCCCTTTCCTTTCCTCTCTCTGTATTTGTGCTGTGTTCTATGGCTGTTGAGTGTATATTCTGTATTGGGGTTAATCCGTGTAATTCGCCAGAAGACCCCCTTTGATCATCTGTGCTTACCTGCCTCTTGGCCCACACGCAGCAGGGCTAACGTCTCGAATGATGCCCACTGATACATGGTTTCTGAGTGAGGCCCTGAGCAGTGCAATCAGGATGCGAACTGCCAACAACATAACCCCTGGCTCACAACCTCAGGCTCAAACCAAAGATAAAAATGTGTGTAATGTAATTGGAGATAGCTAGACATAGCAGAGTATTAAAAAAAAGATCGATTTGAATATAATCTGTTAGTTGCTTACTTGTAACAGGTTTCACATCCTTTTATCACTGGGTGCAGTAAAAACATCTGCTGCAAAGCCTCCTTGCAGCTG